CTGAGTGTGATAATCTTTCCCAGATAGCTAGGAATTGGTCCGGTTAAGCGGTTGATAGCAATAGACCTGCAACGTATGCAACCTATTAATACAGTAAGAGCAAGCAATTCATTGGCTACAAAATTAAGAAAATGTAGTGTTTTCTTACAATATTTCCAGCTTTGTATTAGCCCATTCCGGTGGTATGTTACCACTCAGGTAGTTCGCCCACAGATCGCTGCAACGTTTATAGAATCTCAAATTAAATTGAATATATGTTCAAAATTCATAATTGCTAAAATTTATAAACACTACATACAGATGCGTAAGGTAAGGTAGTTTCTGAATAGATTTCGGGGACTGCCAGCAAGATCCTGCCTTTTGAGAAATCTGTTTCATAAGAACACTTGGACCCATCAATTCCTCATTAAAAAGTAAAAAATCCAAACTTTAAATATAAAAAATCACCTTTCATAAAGAAAGAAAATACAAAATAATGGACCACAGACCTGAAAAATCTTTTGACATCTAGCAATACTAAAGCATAAACTTCTTAAAAGTGAAATTCTTATCTTAGATAAATAACTTTCCTTTGTAATTCTCTACATCCTTGCAATGATCATTATTCATTTATACTTCTTACAAAAAATTCCACTGCACAATTTCATCTGAATTTCCCAAGATCATCTCAATCTTGTTTCACCCATGAACTAAACCAATAATGTCAGATACTTTTACACACCAACTCTCAAGGGTTTTGACCTGGGGCTCAATACCATCATAACTTTGGAAAAATTCCAAGAAAATAGACATTGCTAGCATTAAAAATTCAGTTATTAACAACACTATTGATATATACCTTCTTGTTCCTCATTTTCAAACAAAATTGCTTAAAATTTAATCAATTAAAAAGGGAAAACATTCACTCAAACATAAACAAAACAAGCATGGACTATTAAGAGAAGTTGAAACGTACATGGAAACAATGTGGCACACACCCCCAAATGAGCAATTGCAAACAACATTATTATCAAACATTGGCCTTTGAGGTGAAGGTGGTGTTACCCAGCTTGTCTCATTGCTGCAAGGATCCACGCTATTATTCCAGTCTTTTTTCCCCACTTGCGTTGCTATTTCAAGCAAAGCATCCACTGCAAAAAAAAAATACAGCTTCAAATCTTAGGGTGGTAAAAAATTAGAAGTTATCTTTACCAAATTAAACATACACAAGGTACCTTCATCTAGAGCAAGAAGCTCGGCTTCTGCCTCCAGTTTAATTGCTCCTATGCAAAGCATTAGTATTGTCGCTACAC